GGTTAGGATAGATATATAGTTACATTCTCTTAATGAATAGAGTGATTTGTTCTAATGGTGTTTGTAAATAGGATCTCAAGTCCGCATCTTATACAGCAATTAACCACTAAGAAGAATTTATGCAGTGTGTTAATTATTGAAACTGTCCTAGCGATTTGATTTGAAACTGTCTCATTGCTATTTATCAATAATATTATGAAAAAAGTTTACTGTATTTTATACTTTAGTTTAAATGTATTTTAAAATAGTACCAATTCCCAGTATCATGAGGATTAAATGTGCCCAGCAGGTTGCATAATTACTCCTGACCAGTATCAAGTATTTGGCTATTGTCTTAGTGGGTGGGGCTTGGGGGAAGCCTGTGTCTCCAACAAGCGGTGAGTGTTTTAGCGGACAAGTACTTTGGCCCCCTTCCTGTTCCAGGAGTGAGGAGGATCCATCTGGGTTCTAAGCTGCTTAAGTTCAACTAGGGAGAGAGACAGGTGATCTCAGACATTGGCTCTGGTGGGTTGGCAGGGCTTCACATGGGGGACATTTGGGAGGGTTTGTGGAAAGAACTAAGTCGTGGAGACAGGAAGGACGCAGCCAGTGGAGAGGAAGGTGCCTTCAGCTCAGAAGAAGGGAGTGTTTGACTGGGGGATCTTGTGTCCCTTCACCATGCCTGGCACCCACTAGACTATCAAATACCGGGACCACTGGAATGAATGGGCCCCATCAGCGGGGGGAGGGGGGAATCATGAGCTCTGGTTTAAATACAGAGAAGAAATGCGCACATTTGGGCACCAGTTGGATTTGCTGAGTTTTGCTAGCAACTATCAGAACCCAGGGCCTCAGACCCCAGGGTGTATTATGGAGCAGTCCTAGGACGGGAACCAGTTAGACATGGACAAGTCCACCAGGGAAGCCAGAGTGCGTTAAGGGCAGGCGGGCGCAGACAGCAGATGAGACTGCTGAGCAGCCTCCGCCTGGCGAGCGCAGCAGGGAAGCGGGTTGAGCTGGGGGCGGCGGCCTGGCACAGGCGCGAACCCAAGGCTCCGGCCATGCAGTCCCGGCTCGCGTGGCCCGGCAGGCGGCGCCAGAGCGCAGGCCCACCTCGTGACTCGGTCCAGAGTCCTGCCGGGCGGAGCGAGGGGCGGGTCTGGCGTCGCGCGGGGGACTGCCTAGCCAGCACACGGACCCCTGCACACCATGGGGGAACACACCGCGCGCCGCTGCTGTCTGGGCTGGGACTTTAGCACGCAGCAGGTACGGTCACACGGCCGAGGTGGTGCGGCGGGCGGGCGGCACCCGGACCGTGGGCTGGGCCGCCGCGTTGCGTCTCCGGGGGCTCCAGCACCTCCTTCCCGGCCGTGCTGCCGGCGAGCTGTGCCTTGTACTCTCGTTCTTCAGGAAGCGGGCCCGGTGGGCTCAGAGTGAGAAGTGTGTGGGGCGGTGGCAACGCGCTGTGGCACCGAGGGCGAGGACACAGAGCCGCTCGGCCTGGCCAGATAGGGACAGACCAGCAGCGCTGCATGTGCGCTAGCCAGCGACCTGCATCCGCATGAAACTTGTTTTTAAAGTGAAAAGGGCACAGTGTACAATGGACTTTGCCTGTCCTTGGTTGGCACCAGCATGCCCAGGTCCGCAGACCTGGGCCTGCTGGCCGTTAGAGGTCTGTGTGGCATAGTGAAAATTTGCCTTTGAACTGGCATGGAGTCTCCTGGGGCGGGGGGCTCATGAAGTCCCCTTGGGGCTCGTGGCAATCAAACCCCTCTCAAATGGCCAGAGGAGACAGGCCTCACCAGTACCTGATGTGACCGTCAAGTTGCCTTGCCTCAGTTTCCCCATTTGTTCAGGAAAGGAGCTAAACTCCTGAACTAGGAGCTCTACTTCATTGGGCCATTATCAGGGCCATGATCTTGGCCTCTGGGAAGAGCCTGTGGGCTTTGCCTGGTCTCAGACCCCTGCAGGGAGTCCCATCCTCACCCCCAGCCACCATACTTAGCCTTCTATCCTTAGGACTTTCTCAGGCCTTGCCTGGCTCCTGAACCAACTCACCTGTGAACAAACGCTGGCGGGCTTGTTTGGGAAGCAGAATTTCTACATGAGTGTTTCTACTTAGCCTCTGCATCATAAATCTTGGAGTATGCCTAGAGAGTGAGCCTCTGTTGCCATGGTAACAGTGATGCACTTTAGCTTTCAAGGACTATTAGACTAAACCTCACCTGATGATGTTAGTAACCTGTGGGCCAGTAGTGAAGTTGAGAAAAATACATCATGTTTTAAAATGCCTTCCAGGTGAAAGTTGTTGCTGTTGATACAGAGATGAACATCTGCTATGAGGACAGTGTGCAGTTTGACAGAGATCTTCCAGAATTTGGGTATGTGCCTGGTGTGCAGGGGTTGGGGTGTGTGTGGGGGTCATGGTTTTGGGAATCCTGGGAATGTTTATATTCACAAGCTGCAGTTTTCTAGCTTTCCCAAACTGTAGGAGAGGTGATAGTGTTAGACTTCTGAGCATCTTTTTGGTTCTATACCTGGATACTTTTTCCCTCTTCTTTCCCAGCTCAATTCACTCATTCATATATGCATTAAATGCCATTTCAAATGTGTTCTGTTCTAGGCATTGTGTGGGGTACTAGAATTCAGTGGGTTTGTCAGTCCAGTTTCTGTTGCTCATGACAATACCACAGGCTAGTAATGGTGAACCTTTTCAACTTTCAATGATACAAATACAGCCACCGGAGCATAAGTGCCTTAGGTTCACCACCACTACTGTGGACTCGTTAATGTAATGTAAAACAGACCAAACACAAGAAAAAATGGCATTGAGAAGTTTTAGGAGGCAGTTTATCATACTGGAGGGGCTTGACTGGAATCTCTTCCCAAAAGTTAAACTTTCCCCCTCCCCTTGGGGTTTTGGGACTTCTATAGGGAGAGCAAGTGCTGGGGTACTAAGGCAGATTTGGCACATTGTGATTGGAGGGTTGGGTGACATCATGGATTCCTAAGGGAGTTTAAACATCTCAAGTTACATTGCAAGGCCATCAGTTAAACAAGCATAGGCTACACAAAGGGTGAAATATCCAGTTATCAGGCTTTTCCCGATATACCCCTTTGATTTTGGCAGGCATTCTTGGCAGGCTTTATTTACAATTTTAATTTCCTTTTAAGTAACATAATACCACAGTTACAAAGAAAAGAGGTTTATTTTAGCTCATTGTTCTCCTGAAGATCTGAGAACTATATCTGACAGTAGTCCTCTCAGCATTCAGACTCCTGAGGTGGCATGGGGCATCACATGGTGAGGGACAGTGAGTGTTCCTACGTGTTGTATGTGTCCTTATGTGATCTCTCATTCTCTCTTTCTCTTTGCTCTGGGGATCAAACACTGGGCCTTAGCACATGCTATACTACCGCTGAACTATAGCCTCACCTGTTCCTCTCATTAAGCTATGAGTTCAGTCATGGAGGGGTGATGACATTATATAATCCTTATCTCTTTATTTTTATTTATTTATTTATGTACTTATTTATTTTTTGTGTGGAACCAGGGATTGAACTTAGGACCTTGCGCTTGTCAGGCAAGCGCTTATTCTATTGATCTATGTCCTCGCCCCTCTTTATTTTTATTAGTATATATTTATTCACGCATCAGTGGAATGAACATTTGGGTTGTTCCACTTTTTTTTTTTTTGACACTTGTGAATTATGCTGCTGTGAACATTCATTTTTTTAAATGTAATACATTTTAAAATGGTGCAGGGTCTCACTACACAGCGTGGACTCATGATCTTCCTGTTTTCAGCCTCCCCTGCACTGGGATTACAGGTGTGCACCACTATGCCAAGTCTCGGTGGCTGGCTCAGCATGCCTGGGGGCAGGGCTGGCATGACATGTGGTGCTGGGATCCCAGTCTTTGTGCTTGCCTAAGTAGGCACTTAGTCCACTGAGCTATCTTGCTGGCCTGTGAACATTCTTGTGTGTTATGGATTGAATCATGCTTCCTGCCCCAAATGCATATGTTGAAGCCCAGCCCTCAATGTGACTGCATTTGGCAATGAGGCCTCTGCATAGGGAACTAAGGTTACATGAGGTTATAAAAGTAGAGCCCTGAGCCAACAGGACTGGTACTCTTATAAGAGGGACAGCAGATCTCTCTGCCTGTGTGTGTGTGTATGTGTGTGTGTGTGTGTGTGTGTGTGCGCATACAGGAAAGGTTTGTGAGAATTAGTAGGAAAGTATGTGTCTATAAGCCAAGAGAGCACCTGCCACACAAATGCAATTTGCTGAAGCCTCACAGATTCTGACCTCAGAACCAGAAGAACATAAATGTCTTTGTTGAAGTCACTCAGTCTGTGGTATTTTGTCATGGGAATCTGAGCTAATGTTCAAGTTTTTGTGTGGGTATGTTTTTATTTGTGTTTGGTATTTCTGTAGAAGTTCTGGTCATATGATAACTCTATGTTCAACATTTTTAAATTTTATTTATTTACTTTTTTATTTTATTGAGAAACAAATATCAATGAGACAGTTTCAATACCAATTAATAGGACAGTTTCAATAATTAATACATTGTACATTGTTATCTTCTTAGTGGTTATCCATAGTACAAGATGCAGACAGACTATCCTGTCCAAACACTATTACTACAAATCTGTTTTCGCATTAAATTAAGTGAAAGTAGCTGTATATCTATCCTAACTATTCTGCATATACAGATACAAAGTGGTCCTTCCTTTGTATCACATTTTTGTTTAGTTCTGTAAGAAATGAGTATTCCATTGTCATCTAAATACTATAGGTGCGTGAATTCAGCAAAACAATCCAACACAGTCCAGCAGCCCACAATAGTAGTGGGTTATCCACAGAAGTTGTTGACTTGAGCCTTTAACAGCGCAGCATATTAATATGACTTTACTTTATATACCTCGTTTTTATACTTTTCTGCTGGATGGTTAAGACCAAGATAAAGCAAGACTTATATAACAAGAAATGTAACTCTTGTATCTGATAAGGTCAGTCAAGTCCCCTCAGGATTTGTCCTGTAACCCTGTACTGCAGTTTGTAGATCCTTTGTCAGTGTCAGCCATGTGGATGAGTCACGGCCATCGCTTCACCAATATGCTCTCCACGAAAGCTTCAGAGGATGTTTCTCCCCATGTGACTCTCCTTAGGCACAATCTATGTCATTGATCACATTGCTCTGTGGCCCCATAATTGCCTTGTTCAGAAAATTTGCGGCACAACTGAGTTACAGGACATTACAGTATAGGTTCTCCTGTGTCCTGAGTCCTCACTGACCTTGAAAGGCTAGGGCCAAAATGTTGGCTGTCCTTGCAGCCCTTCTATTTCTCCAATTTTTGGTCTGCAAGCTTAGGTTGTTAACCCTCCAGAAGAGAAGCTTATTATTACCCTACATCTTAAGCAGTTGGGTTTAACTTCACTATCTGTCTGAATATCAGTATTTTCAACATTTTGAGGAGTTGCTGTACCATTTTACATTCATACCAGTAGGAAATGAAGGGTTCAGTTCCTCCATGTTATGCTTTTTGTCTAGCTGTCCCCCCAGAGTCTCATCAGTCTTGGGGCAGATTTATGGAGTTTGTGATTCATTCATGATCCAATGCTGGGATCATGGGTGTGAGTGCTACACCCTCCCTGGGGCCAACAGCCTGAATATAATATAAGGGTGGGAGAGAGGCTTGCCCTCTGCTGCTGCCCCTGCTCCTCCCTTTTTGCTCTTGCTGTTTTGCTTTTTTCTGCCACCATGAACTGCTTCCCTCTGCTATGAGCTAGCTGATTATGGACTGAAACCTCTAGAAACTGTGAGCTAATAAATAAGCCTTTCCTTCTTTAATTTTGAGTGTCAGGTATTTTGTTCCAGCAACGAGAGAAAAGTAACTGAGACACTCCGCATCTTCCCTAACATTTGCTACTATTCATCTTTTTAAATTTTATTTTATTTATTTATTGTCTGTATGAGACAGGGTCTCACTATGTAGTTCAAACTGGCCTTGAATTCAGTAATAGCTTGACTGGCCTAGCCTCCCAAATGCTGAGATTACAGGCATGTGCCCTCCACACCAGTGTTGCCAGTTTTAATTTGTTAAATACATGGTGGAAGTTACAATTTTCATTTACTTGGTAAATTGAACTTCTTTTTCAGTGAATTTTCTTTGGTTTTAAAAGTTTTCTGCCTTTTTTCCTAAGAGTATGAGAATACTCTTTTTACAAAAAAGGCATCCATTAGAAATATATAATTCTTTAGACATGGCAACACACACCCATGATCTCAGCTACTTAGGAGGCTAGTGCAGGACAGTTGCAGGTTTAAAGGCCAGCCTGAGTAACCTAGCATGACCCTGCCTCAAAATCAAAAGAGGGCTGGGGATGTAGTTCAAGGTAGAATACTTGCCTAGCAATCAGAAGGTCTACCTAAAAAAGTTTACCTAAAAAAGTGGGTTTTTGTACTAAAAAATAACATAATCCCATGTATTTTTCTAGAGGGAGGGACACCCAGACCCGTGAAAGTACCTCTACAATCAGTATACATAATGTTCGGAGCTTGGGGAGCAGCAGTGTAGCAGCACTTACCGCCTGATAACCTGATAGTTCTCTAACTAGATCAGTTACCTAACTGATCACACAGTTATCTAGATAGCTTTACCTTTAAAGCCTCTTAGAATTTACCTCGGAGTGGTGAGGGTTGGAATTGATCAGACGAGCCCTTCACAGAAGGGTGAGGAGCAGGTTCCAGGAAGCTCCCGGGACTTCAAGTCTGAGGAGCTTCTGAGCTGCTGTGATGGGTGAGAACTTTTTCCTGCAGATGCAGCACACTGTATAGCTGGCTGGCTGCCTCTTCTCCCAACCTCTGGGCTTCCTGAGGGCTGTGAGTCCAAGCCCTACTCCCATGTTTCTACGTGGCTCCTTCATCAGTGCTACCACCCTGCCTTCCTGGCCAGCCCCTCACACCTGCAAGGCTCACTGGGAATGCCTTTTCTGAGAATCGCCATGTCTGGGCCTCTCTTGAGGATCCAGCACTCCATCTCACTGGGGATGGGGAGGGCCACAGCACCCCAGCACTGTGGTGCTGGCTTGGCAGTGCTCAGCCTTCCCTGAGGCTGCATTTCACATTCTCTGTTCTTCTTTCAGGACTCAGGGCGGGGTGCATGTGCACAAGGACAGGCTGACAGTCACCTCCCCAGTCCTGATGTGGGTCCAGGTAAGGGATTCTTTCCCTCTTCTGTCTCCATTCTCTGTGACCAGCAGGCTTAGTGATTCCCTAGGAAGGCCCCAGCTGGCTGCTCATGTGAGCAGCTGTTGAGACCAGGTCCTCACAGTGAAAGGACCCAAGTTGTTCCTGGGGCACATTCAGCTTGGCTGGTGTCAGCACTCACAGGCTGAGGGAGTTCACAAAGAGCTACAGGATATGGATGCAGCCGCACCTGGCAAGTTTTGCCACAGCCGGAGCCAGGCTTTCCCAGATACCTGCAGGCAGCCCTTAGGTCTTCCTTGTACATACCTTGAATTCCAAACAGCTCTTTGTGACTCATGGGACCACAGAACCAAGGATGTGGACGGTACAGATAGACATGATAGGGCTGGGACTGTGTCCTATGCCGCAGGCACCAGAGTCACTGGAGGCCAGCTAAGGGCACCATTTGTTGTATTTGTCCACAGCTTTTCTCAGTCCTCCAGACCTGTTTAACCAATTCCTGCATTAAATTCTTTGTTAGAGATAACCAGTGTGATTTCTTTTTTGCTGGCCTGAGCATGACAGTTCTATAGGAGGACTGAGATAAGGAGTGGATCTTACCCAGTCAGGCTGAGCCAGACCACAGGAGGTGAGGGAGGCAGGGATTGGATGAAGGGTCACTGCCAGGAGGTCTGGAGTATAGGTAAGATGATCTGACAGGCCTAGGCTGTCACTTGGGGAGGTAAGCCAGGGAAGAGACATCCAGGCTTGAGGTGATTTCTCATCCAGGGGGATTTCTGGCCTTGAGCAACCCACAAGGCTGCTCCTACCTTTCCTTGTGCTATGTGAGGTTTGACAAGCGGGGTGCACAGTGCACAGCACAGTCGGGGCTGGAAGGAGTCCTCAGCATATTGCAGGGATGGGGGTTCAGGCTGAAGCAAGAGTAGCTTCTCTGCTCTCAGGGACGTGTGGTGGGTTAATCTGTCTCTTGCTGTGACATCCCCAGTAGAGTCAGTTCTGCTGAGCGCTGCCCTCCTACCTTGTTGGAAGAAGATTCCAGCCAGGTAGCAGCACGGGCTGGAGGGAGCAGCTGGGACAGACAGCTGTCCCTCCACGCATGCGTTCTACCCCAGGCTGCTGCTTAGGGGGAGTCTGGACTCGGAGCTGCTTTGATTTTCTCATTCTGAGGGTGAAGAAGTCATAAATGGGAGAAGCAAATTGAGGGTTCATGGTTTGTGATTCCTTTTATTTGAAATGTTTTTGACATTGTTGACCTTTTCTGCTCGATGGGTACCTACTTGCTGACGTGTCCTAGTGCTTCTAGGCCTGTCTTTGGGAGTGTCTGTATCTGCCCAGAGCCCTCCTGCCAGGGCAGGCGCTTGTACTGACTTCTGTTTTGAGGCTTGCCTGGTTCCGGGGTTCAGTGCAGTCATGGTGGACTCTTCTCCTCAGGCTCTGGATATCATCCTGGAGAAGATGAAGGCTTCGGGTTTTGACTTCTCTCAAGTCCTGGCCCTGTCAGGGGCCGGCCAGGTTAGTTGGCAGCTGCTGTCTGCCTAAGGGGAGCTCTCTGGGGCAGCAGGGTGATGGCTTCTCTTGGGGCAGTGCTTTTCATTTTTAGAGTAAGAGCCTCCAGCCGAGTCACCTTGGACACTGGGTGACTTACCTCTTTGTAAGAGGGTCTGAGGCACTTCTTAAGAATTAGCATTATAGAAAATGGGACCCTGGGTGAGAGAGTGAAGTAGTGACCCTGTTAGGGGAAAGGAAGCATGTGACATGAGTTTATTGACTAGAGGTGAAAGGGCACTAAAATTGCTTTTCTGTTTCCTGGAAGTAAAAGCAAAGTAAGAAATGATACCAATTGTGGGAATAGTTTTAGTAGTGGAAAGAGTAGCAACACCAACATCAAGCAGTCCTGACTGCGCCCTGAGTGTGAGACAGGTGCCACACCGCATAGCTCACATCCAGGATCTGACTGGGCCTTGGCAGTGGCTCCGAGGTAGTGCTAGTCAGCATGAGAGTTCTGCCCTGACCTCAGTGGCCTGGGCTGTGTCACTGGCCTTCCAGTGCCTCCATATCCTCATCTGTTGGAGGGTCACCATGAGTGTTAAATATGAAGAGTAGCACCTAGAACATAATAAACCTCATTTGAGTGTTATTTACTATGTTGTCATCTGCGTTCACCTGAGGAAAGCGAGGCACAACAAGGCGATGTCGCCTGCCCACGATCGCATGGCCATCACATCTGGAGGGCAGGACCCACGTCAGTGTGCTGTGCAGGAGCCACTTTGCTCCCTGCTGGTCACTGGGCCTCACATCCTCACTAGGGAGTGCATACTTGTTTTCTAATGCTCCTTTCCCCTTGACCCTCATAGGAACGAGCTGTTCTGCTTCTTATTAAATTATACAGGGTCCCTAGTGATCCACATTCCTCACTGGAGCCCTAGGCCTGGGCCCATCTCCTAACTAGACAACTCCTGTGGCCTGACGTCCCACACATACCTGAAGTGTAGCAGGTCCAGACTTAGTGTTCTGTGCCTGCTGTGGTCAGCTCTGCCTCTGCTGACCCAGGCCAAAGACTTGTCTCTTTTCTCTGGGCCTCTACTGTGACTTCCCTACCTCCGCCTGCTTCTTCCTGACTTCCACAGGCTCTATCACTCCAGCCCTGGTCACGTCACTCCTCTGGTTACATAGGCTCTGCGTCACCTCTGAGCTGAGTCCTGGCCACAAAGGCTGGATCCCAGTGCTGTGTGCTCAGGCCCTTCCTCTCCTCCCAGCCCACACCAGCATCTGCAGACACACTGCTTCAAGGGTTACCCCTTGCCAGCCCTGCCAGGCTCTTCCCTAAGATGCTGTCTGCACGGAGCACCCCACACCCAGCTCTGTCTCAACACGTCCACCCTGCCCTTTACTCCAGCTGGTTGCTTCTGTGTTCCCACACCTCTGTCACTACAGGGCTTTATGATTGTACATTTGCTTCTTTTTCCAAGTTTCAATCCCATTGCCCTGAAAAATGGGATCAATAAAAAAAATTTTCGGTTGGGAGAGCCTTTTTACCAAGATGGCGCCGAAGGCAAAGAAGGAAGCCCCTGCCCCTCCCAAAGCTGAAGCCAAAGCAAAAGCTTTGAAGGCCAAAAAGGCCGTGCTGAAAGGCATCCACAGCCACAAAAAGAAGAAGATACGAACGTCACCCACCTTCCGCCGTCCCAAGACGCTCCGGCTCCGGAGGCAGCCCAAATACCCTCCGAAGAGCGCCCCCAGGAGAAACAAGCTTGACCACTATGCCATCATCAAGTTCCCCCTGACCACAGAGTCAGCCATGAAGAAGATTGAGGACAACAACACACTCGTGTCCATTGTGGATGTCAAAGCCAATAAGTACCAGATCAAACAAGCTGTGAAGAAGCTCTATGACATCAATGTTGCCAAGGTCAATACCCTAATCAGGCCTGATGGAGAGAAGAAGGCATATGTTCGACTGGCTCCTGATTATGATGCATTGGATGTTGCCAACAAAATTGGGATCATCTAAACTGAGTCCAGCTGGCTAATTCTAAATATATACTTTTTTCTCAGTAAAAAAAAAAAAAAAATTTCTGTTCCTGTCAGGACTAAGGCACTCAATACATGTTTATTGAATGAATGAATGAATGAATGAATGAATGAATGAAGTGAATGAATGAAGTGAATGAATTTCAGGCAATATTGCAGATAGTACTTTTAAATATAATTTTACAAAAAGCACCAAACCAGACATGGTGCCTCATGTCTATAATCCCAGCAATCAGAAGGCTGAGGCAGGCTAGCCTAGGATCTATAATGAGTTTAAAGCTAGCCTGAACTGTGTAGGAAGACTGTCTTAAGAAACCAAAGGGGATGGGGGCGGGGGGAAAGCACCAAGATACAGACTGATAATTCTTTCTTGGACTCTTCCTACAAGTGTTGGGTAGCAGGTTGGAGTTCTTTCCCATGTTATAGAAATAAAAAATAAGTCTCAAAAGTGATGAGCTCTGTAACTGAGAGGTGGCAGGGGAAGGCTTGGGCCCAGCTCCTTGGTGTGTGCGCTGGAGTCTTTCTGGGATGCCAGTGTGTGACTATATGAATGTGTGCGTGAATTTCTCCTCCACAGCAACATGGGAGCGTGTACTGGAGTGCGGGGGCCAGCTTGGTGCTGACAAGCCTGTCACCAGACCTCCCGCTGCACCAGCAGCTGCAGGTATGGCCGAGTGCATGCAGTGAGCCTGAGCAGTTCTGGAGATGGGCAGAAGGACCCCCAGTCCTGTGGGCCCTCAAGTCTGGGGTTTTTACACATCACTGAATGTTTGAGGTGGCTTTGGCAATGGCCCTGTATTATGGTCTGCCCTGCCCTCAAGTATCTCTCCCTGGTGTTGGGATGGAGGATCAGGCACTGAGGCCCTCCGCCCCATGAGCCCCTTGCTGTCCAGAAACACTGGCTGCCCTTCCTTCTTCCATTTGGTGCCTGATGCCCTGGGGATGGTGCCAGAAAGTGGGGGCTCTGGCTTCCCCTTCCTCCTGGGCTCCAGAAGGCCCTGTAAATCCTGGCTTTGCAGCTGGAGCCCTTCCCTGCCATCTCTGGTGATGCCGGTGGTATTTGATGCTTTACCAGAGGAGCCCTTGACCCCATGCTGTTGGGCTCAGTGGAGGGTTTGCCCACGGATCCTGCAAGGGCACATCCTGGGCAGTGGGATCATGCCTGCTGTGACAGGCACTGTGACTGCCAGCATCTTGCCCCCTCTTTCAAGGCCTGTTTCACCCTTGGTGACTGCCCAGTATGGATGGACTCCAGCACCACGGCCCAGTGCCGCCACCTGGAGGCCGCTGTTGGGGGTGCCCAGGTGCTCAGCTGCCTGACAGGGTCCCGTGCCTATGAGGTGAGCAGCCCGAGATGGCTGGGGTGGGGCTGGACATCGTTCCCAGGTGCCTGGAGAACACAGTGGGCACTCAGCTTCTGTGAGTGTCCTGTGAGATGGGGTGGTTCCTAACCTGTGCAGCTGAGATGGAGCCTGTAGGCTCCCAGGTCCTGGCCCTGGCTATCTCACCTTCCCTGATGCCTGTCCCAGGAGGGCAGCCTTCTCTTGGGTGTGGAGCTGTGATGTGGGGTGATGATGGCTGCATTCTCTAGACTCCTACACAACAACAGGACTCCCACTCAGGGAAGTAGTGAGATTGCAAGAAATCAGCGTAGCACACAGGTGCTGGGCCTGGCCACAGGGCCCAAGTGCCAGCACTGGCAGTGGCTGGCTTGGGTCATGTGATGTCCTCTGGAGTACAGATTTAAAATCTGTACAAACCTGCTCAGACCACTTGAAATAAGGAGGTACATGGGGAGATTATCTGAGTCGCCTTCTCTGGTGCCTTGGCCAGAGTTGTAAAGAGCAAGGCTTATTCGTGAAGGCTCATCCTGTCCTTAGGTAGGAGAACCTGTCTTGGGAAGGCCCAGATGTTATGTCCGTGTCCTATAGGTATATGATGATGGAATCTTCTGTTGCCTGAATATTTGATTACCACATACATGAAGGATTCAGAGTCCTAAATCTTGGGTATTTAAGCAGATACCAAACATTTCCAGACTTGGGAGCTTCCAGACTTGGCTGGGCATGGTGGCACACACCCCTATTTGCACAATTCAAGAGGCTGAAGTGAGAAGATCACAAGTTTGAGGCTAGGCTGGGCTACGTGACCCTGTCTAGAATAAATAAGTAAATCCTTAAAATAAATAAATTAAAAATTAAAGCTAATACTGTTCCATTAAATATCTAGAGTTTTTTATTTTGTCTTTTGAGATGAGGTCTTGCTGTGTAAGTCAGACTGGCCTTAGATTCACTGTGTACCCCAGACTGGCCTCAAACTCATAGCGGTCCTCCTGCTTTAGCCTCCCAAGGGCTGGGATTTCAGGCTTGTGTTACCACACCTGGCTGCTATGCTAAACTTACTTTAAGGAGTTGGTTATCCATTCTGTGTAGGATTTGAATTTCTAAGAATTTGTGCTCTTTCTCTCAGCGTTTTACAGGGAACCAAATTGCAAAGATTTACCAGCAGAATCCTGAGGCCTACTTACGTACAGAGGTTGGTTCAGCATTTGTGTACGGTTGGAAGTCGTGGTTGAATTCCTTTTACAGTCCATATCTTTAGCATAAATACATATTGAGCACATTGGCTAAAGAAATGCGATGAGTAGACACCAACAAAGATAGAAAGGGTGCTTGCAGCATGTGTGAAGCCCTGGGTTCTGTCCACAGTATGGGGAGGGGATAGTGACACCTAATCACACTCTAGATGACGTTTAGTCAAGGATGGACTCACGTGCACGTGCTGGTCCTGTTAGATGACAGTGGAGCTGAGGGCAGGGGTGGAGCCGAGTGGCAAAGCACTACTTACCTGGCATACGTGAAGGCCTGGGCTCCATCCTCAGCAGTGAAAAATAAAAAGGATTATAGTCCAGCTGAAAAATTCTTATCACCTAGTGACATCATCTAATATCATAAGGCCATATTCACATGTTTATGATGATGCCGGTATAAATCTACTGTGCTGTCAGGCATATGAAAGTGTTATTTTGTTTAGTTTAGTTTTAATTTATTTTTATTAGTACATGCAGTGCATAAAAATTTGTCCCAGGGAGCTGGCACATGTATATAATACCTCTTAGTCCTATTTACTTCCCCCTCCATTTTCTCTCTACTTCTATCTCGGTTCAGTCTTCTATCTCTAGATCGAAGTCATGGTTGAATTCCTTTTACGGTCCTCATCTTTAGCATAAGTACATACTGAGCACATTGGCCAAGGAAATGTGACTTTCTATTTGCAAAATATCTATTTCCCTGTTTGCTATTATCTGTCTTTTATTTTGCCCTTTAATTACTTATGCTTTGAGTGTCTCATATAAGAGAAACCACGTGGGGCTGGTGAGATGGCTCAGTGGTCTAAAGCACTTACTTAGAACAAGCTCAGCAAAGCACAGGGACCGTGGTTCAATCCCCCAGCACCACATGCCAGCCAGCCCCGCCCCCTGGTGGACTGAGCTGGCCACACACACTAAATAAGTAAATATTTAAAGAAAGAATTTTTAAAAAAGAGAAACCACGTGATATTTAAGCTTGTGTGTCTGATTTATTTCACATAACATTATTGTCCCAAGGTGCATCTATTTTCCTGTAAATGACTCAAATTTATCCTTTCTTTTTTTTTTTTTT